TGGTGGTCAACATGCCGACACTGACAAGGTTAAAGGAAAAATGAGGGACAAATAAGACATCGTGTAGGGTTAAGGTGTTGGTGAAGAACATATTTCCAAGTTGAGTTACTAGCACTGAACTACCATTTGGTAAAGTAACTGGGATGGGTTTAATATGCTTAAGGGTGGTGAAGAGGGTGGATGTGCAACATATGTGATGTGTGGCTCCAGAGTCAATAATCCAGCATTTAGAGGTAAGTGTGTGTGTGAAACTGGAAAGGCAGAAGGTTATGGGTGATATACCTACCGCGTGAAGGCCAGAAGTTGCGTTATTGGTGGGAGGAGAGAAGTTGTCCGGTGATATGGCGGAGTGCAGTTGGTGGAGCCGTACGCTTAGGTGGGCAATAATATTCTGAATTTGCGACGTGCTCAGAGCATCGACTGAGGCAGCAGAATCAAGCACCGGTAAGCAGGCAACGGCGGAGGCGAAGTTCTGCACCTGTCACACAGTTGGGTACGTGCCCGAGGAAGAAAAAGAGTTGTTCCCTGGAGGAGCCTGTTCGTGGGCCGAGATCTGGCTGGCAGAAGAAAAGACGGGCCTGGACTCAGACCCAGATGAATTAAATGATATAGTTCCAGGAGTGGGCCGAGACTGAGTTGAAACATTGCAGGCTTGGGCTTGGGCTTGGGCTTGGGCTTGTCCTTCATTAAAAACAGCCTGGTTGGGGTCAGGCGAGTGCATATTGGGCTTGGGCTTAAGGCCCGGTGGATACCCATGTAACCGGTAACATCTGTCCACAGTGTGGCCCCCGAGCCCACAGTGTGAACAGGTGGGTCGTCTTCGATCTTGAGCTAGGGCAACAGAAGAAGCAGACCTCGTAGCCGCCTCTGCGCACGCGTCGAAGTCGATCGCACGGTGCCGTTCTTCTTGCACCACCAGCGAGAAAACCTTCAAAATGGATGGCAAAGATTCCATCATCAGGATTTGAGCCCTAATTGCAGCATAGGAAGGATTCAAACCCATCAAAAATATCATCACAAACTCCTGCTCTTGATAATCATTCCATGCCTTCGTGTTTCCGCAATGACAGGTTGGAGCTGGTTTGTAAGTTTTGAGGTCGTCCCAGATTATTTTCATCCGCGTATAATAGGCGTTGATGCTGAGTGATCCTTGAACAAGGTTATTCATGCTCTGTTTCAGTTGGTAGATGCGTGGAGCATTGCTCTGCTGATAACGGAGTCGCAAATCGGTTCATATAGATTGTGCATTCTCATGGTATAACAAACTATCAGCTATCTACTTTGTTACAGCATTCAACAACCAAGAAGTTACCATGCTATTACAACGTGACCAAGCTCCAGCAGTGGAATCGGTGTTGCTCGGTTGATCATAAGTTCCATCTATGAAACCCAATTTGTTTTTGGCGTTCAAAGCTATTTTGATTACTCTCTCCCATGTGTTGTAATTATTGCCATTGAGGACATTGGATACCAAGACCAATCCAGAATGGTCGACACTGTGAAGGAAGAAGGGGTTTGGGGAATCATCTGATTGCTCTCTAGCCATTGAAGATTAAAGTTTAAAGCTCAATCACTAAGCTGAAAAAAAATTTGTTTGATTAAAAAAAACTCTCTGATATCATGTTAG